TTCTGTTCATCTTATTTGAAGTTATTCAGTGAACGATGGGTCGCCAGACTCAGGAAATCTCTGATTTGTATCCCTAAAACATGTACATGAAAAAACACCTTCCTTAAACAAAAACAATACCTACACCATAGCCAAAAAGCATGAAACGTGCGGACGGACCTGTTTTTACCTATAAACACTTTATTACGACTTATACATATAAAATGCACATAGACTAGAGAAACGAAGTGTTTATAGGCACAGTTCAATCCCATTACTTATGTACGTAGACACACACACACACACAGAGTCTTACAAGCCAGAAAAACGAAGTGTTTAGATTCACGCTTCTTTTTGTACCTATAAATATATATACAGACAAATTTTGGCAATTTGACAACTATCTTTTTCATGAACTTTATGGTAGCCCTGAGAAAGGCTGTTTTGTGTGGGGTTGTGGCAATTTCTTATCATCTAACATTGCGTCCCGTCTGGTTGCAGGCTTTCCGACAGGATAGGGTCTGCTGCTTCGGAAGGAGAAGGAAAACTCCTTGCAATGCACTCAACAGTCCATGCTCCTTTTTTATTTCGTCTTTAATGACTTCTTCTACCAGGTATTGTGCCATTTTCAACATTCTGACATTTTCAATCTCATCAGGCTTTGGCCTCAGATTTTGCCTGACAATGCAAATGAATGTGTGCTTTGTTCAGCTTTGCTAGTATTGAAGACATCTTCACAGGCTGGCGCATCAACAATGGATGGCCAGACTGCATCGCATCGCATCATTATGAATATAGTCGCTTATGCACGGAGTACTTCGCGACTGGTTAAGGTCTCTGGGTGGAACCGTGGCCCCTGGCTGGGCTAGATTTATGTAGTGAGAATGGTGCCTGCACTACTCGTATCCACCTTTGACCTTTGACTTAAGTCTCACAGTACAGAGGGCGAAAACATGTTAAGACCATATAGTTCAAGTGTGTGTGTTTTAAGAAATGCATTTAGCATAAATATTTTTATTCCATTTTTATTTCATTAAATATAATTATAATTAAGAATATATTAATGACAGTCTAACATGTTGTTGAAAACATCGTGTTTACTTGAATTGAAAATGTGACTTATGTGAGCACGTGCTGTGTATAATAGCAAATTCATTACAAGAAAACAATCAGAAATAGCTATGAAAATGATTGGCTGATACTTGGCCAGGCTTTTCTAATATCCAGATGTATTAAGAAATTGCATGTGTCCTCCGTGCGCGTGTAATTCAAACAACGTATTAGCTTCGTTTATATGCTGAGGTATTTCGTAAGAAGGATTCTGAGTCGTAGAGTCAGTCACAGAGTCGGAGTTTCTTGTAACATCTTAGAGTTATACAACTTCTATTACCTTACAGAAAGGTATTTTTGTGCTAGAAGAAGTTGTCTGTTCGTATGTCTACGTAGAAAAACATGTATTTTGTTAGAGGAGCTAATTTTACTTCGTTTTTCTGAATAATTGTTTTCCTGGAGAACAAAATTACTGATTTGAACAAAGACATTATCAGAAAAATATTCTAAATTGAAACGGAACAATACAAACTGTGCTTTATTGTGTAGATTCTGGCTATTTCTGTTAGCCTTCGTCTGACGTCATCATCCGCCATTTTAGACCGGAACTGAACTTCAGACTAAACAAACTTTTTTGGGCAGGTCTTGTGTTTATTTTTAGAACAATTTGGATTGTTTCTGTAAACCGTAAGTCTTGTTTAACATATTTACATTATTTCATGTTTTCTAGGAAAATAAATTATTTTTGTTAAAATTTACAAAGCTTGTTATCCTAACTCTTTCTTAATGTTACTTAGAACGAGCCGATAAGCAGCAATGGCAAAGGCGGAAAGGCGACCAAACAGCGGGCGGCAGAAACATCTTTTGATGTTCTGGTTCTCGACGGCATCAGTGTTTTGTTGTTCTGTGTTGACGGCAACCGCAATGGACAGCCCCGAAACGGCAGGGTCGCTGGCATGGTCAAATTCTGTCCAGTTGTGCTATTTGACTTCCTTATACCAATGATGTGTTAGCCACCTGTGTAATTGTTTGTGCTTTGTGTTGTGGTTGTGAATTTGGAATGTGATGTAGTTGGGATTTAGTGTACCGGATGTACGTATATTAGTCCCAAATTTCCACCCAATCGAGTAAGAGTTGGGCCCTTTTCAACTTTTATAGTAATTGGGTTGTTGGTTGTTGGATTTTTGGAGGCGGGTGGAAAGGATAGAGTTAAGATTTTAACCCGGGCCTTTTCATGCCAATTTGACAGCCCTAAGTTATGTTGGTGTGGGAAACTCTGCCTCGAATAGGGCAGTGTATTCAAAACGAGCGTGTATGGGAATATCTCCTTTCTGCGAGGAGTAATCCTAACTTGTAGTGAATGAGCGCTATTCGGTGTGGGCTTATGGGGAAGTAGGCCGTGCCGCCTGAACTGGCCCTTAACTTTGAACTTGTCTGAGGGGTTGGTGTAGGAGGTCGTGCAGTCGGCGCTTCTCCTGCTCTGTAGCTTTTCCGGGGAGAGGGGTTTGTGGGACAGCAGGCTAAGCGGCCTGGACTTTCTCTATGCTTTGTGTTTGTCATTGGCGTTTTGTAGTAAGAGGACGTTCCACCTTCATTACTCCTACGCTTACGCTTTTCGGGGTGGGGGTGGGGCAGTAGGTAGTGCCGCCTGGACTGTCCTTTTGTTTTGAGTTTGTTAGGTAGGGTTTTCGGTGGGAGCCAGGTGGTTGAGCATGTGTCATTTCCTATGTTCAATATCCATTGTCCATATACATTCCCATCCTTTTGTCTCTATATTCTTTGTATGTATTCATCTTGTCGTATATCTTCCTGGGTGTGTGTGTCTTGTAATGCTAATTCCCATTGCCTGTGTATCATCCCACTTTACTACTCACCTGCTCGAGATTATTTATACTTACTAGCGGAAACGCTCCTTATGGATTTGTGTGCAAAAACCTGGCGCCCAGTAAGGAAATCAATAAACGCAAACATGATACCTTGAAACAACGTATTTACTCATATGGATCAGGTCTTTGATTATCCAGGTCTTTCTTTAATTTGCTGATTTTATATCCACGAGGGTCTGAATTACTAATATGGGCTTTTTCTTTACGTGTGTCACTTTGCATTTTTTTCTGTTTGAACCACAAACCCTGAAGCATGGAGGTTATATTAGACAAGTTAGAACAAAATGCAGTCAAACGATAAAACCAAAATCAACAACACTGTGCATATATTCGGTTTTGTCATGGGATGAAACAAGTTTCTTGCAAACTTTCTCCTAGTTACTCCTTATGTCTGATGAGTATATCCTAGACTGGAGGTCTAAATTTTCTGATAGGTATATCTTAGACTTGAGGTCTAAATTTTCTGCTTTTTGCAAACTGAATATAACTATTATAACCTTTTAACACCTGCAGTTCTAAAAATTGTTACTGCACGTGCATTTAAAGTATTTTAATAACTAAACCGGTGATTATAAAGTTTGTTGGCGCTAGATGAGTATACATAGATGACTGGAAATATGATCTCCACAAAATGAAAGCGACTGAAGCTAACTTCTCTCAGCTGATCTTAAACTCATTGAGTCAAAAGGGAATTAAAACAGGTAACCGTTTCAGAACAGTTACACGTGACTGTCCTTACTTTATAAGCGCGTCTATGGTCAAATTATCTCATTTCAAATTGATTTGGTTTTTGATATAGTCTTCAGCACAGCAACACAAGTAGGTTATTTAGTGTCGAGGCAATTGGAGTAAATACCTTGCCTATGGAATCACCTAGATAGCTGACACAAGCTGGTCCGATTGTAGGATTCGAATCCACGTCATTTACTGGCACGCTAAATACTGCACCAACGCAGTTCCCAATAACTCAAGTTAGCGGAATAGCACCGTTAGCATTTCAGAACATAAAGCATTGAATTGCAAAAGCAATTGATGGATACGTGTTTGCTGATGTAAACGTGTCAAAATTGCGAAGTAGGAAAGTCAATATATATAATATATAAGAGTACATAGGTTTTAGTTTAAGATGTAATTCCTTTAATAAAAGGATAATAAAAACAATATGCAATTTACCTTTTACCATTTCTGGTTTGTGAACTATACATTTGGGATGTTTAACCATTTCATAATTACGCGATTAAAGCATCTAATATTTTTCTGTTGATGTAGTGTGTTTTAAATCCCAGACTGACAGAGAACGAGGATCATTAAACTCTTGAGATTATTTTAAAAACAATTTAATGAAATTTGATTAAAATATTGGAATATTGTATCCCAATCCTCAGAGGCGCCCCGTACTACCGATATACCTATAAATGTGGTTCTTTGCAGCTGAATGGAGTGTTGTAAAAGATATCGGGGCCACATCCAACGTTTGGACGCCTTTTGAAGCAAACCATAAGGAAAACAAAATGTTATTGGTGGTTTTAGTTATTTACTAATATGTCAAGTACATGTACTCCTTTGTAGACCTCGAATTTTCTTAAGATTTTTCAGGAAAACAGTTGTTTTCTGTTTGAATTACACCTAATTTATCAAGCCTACTAGATATTTTCTCATTTCAGGAGTCAGTGTCTTTAATGTTTACTGACCCACTGTGATTAGTATCTTGCTCGGGTATGAGCATTCAACTCATGATTGTTTTGCCGATTATATCAATATTAGCTAGTAAATTGTGGTATAGCTATGTCAACACTCCCCATGTTTATCAACAATCTTTTTAATGTCAGCATTATGTGTGTGTGTGATTTAGATTTTTAACATAGCTTTAACAATTTTTTCAGTTTTATCGCTACGATGTCTGCAGTGAGACAGTTTATAGCGAAGTCTAACACTGGGACATCATGCCGCAGACATGTGGCATGATGTCCCACCCAGTCACATTATCCTGACACCAGGCCAACCAGTCATAACACTAACTTCTTAATGCTAAATGCCAAGCGAAGCAGTTGTTAGTACTATTTTCTAAAGTCTTTGGTATACTCGGCCGGGGTTCGAACCCACGACCTCCCGCTTCCAAGGCAGACGCTCTAACCACTAGGGTGTGGTGTAAGCTTAATCATCTCACTTTAGTAACAGTTTTCAGATGACATCTTATTTAACAATAATGACACACAACGCAAAGTCTCCGATAAACTTTCGAGCCGATATATATATATATATATATATATATATATATATATATATATATATATATATATATATATATATATATATATATATATATATATATATATATATATATATATATATATTTACTTTTACCACATACTAATTATTTTATTTCAAAATAATATAGTGCATATATAATATGGTGTTATTTTGTCTTTGAATCAGAGCAAGATAATTCTTCCAGATTTTTGAGAGCCAGAAACTTCCATAACTAGAAAGAAAAGAAACAATCACAAGCCGCTGCCCAGTATTATTGCGGTATACTACGTATCGCGGTAATTTTCATAAATTTTCGTGGTACCCAGCTCTACTAATACTTGCATTGGTATGGTCGTATCAATAAGCTTGCTATCGTCTTAGTGCATTCATCTTTTCTGATTACGGTGAAAAAAAAACCAAGGCTCTTGTTTGTTGCCGCTGTTAAAATTATTGCGTTTCGCTTCAGCGCAGTGATGCCGTATTTCGTTTGGAAACTAGAACGGATGTAGCCTCAAATCGCGTTTAGTTTCCTTCTATTTTATGTATAACCATAATACATTTGTTCTATAACTGATAGAACTTTGTAACTTTCTGCACCTCTTAACGCACCTCAGAACATGAAATCCTGAAATCGATTTATACGTATGCTTTTATGGATTTATACGATAGACAAACAAGGTCGGTACAGTATACACATATACAATATATGTATATATTATACATAGTTCATACAATAGAGCGTAATTTTAATAACCCAGACACTTTGTAAACTTTAAAGTGTACCATTTGATTATGAACATATCTTGTAGCTTTTAAAGATTAGTCAGCTGGGAAATACACCATTAGCGAGTAGTTACCCAAGTACCGTAAAAACCCGAAGGGCTTGGAGAGCAATAAACCAAAAACACAGAAGTGACGCAGAGATTTGCTGCCAAACTACGCGAACAGACCCGAAAAGACAAAATCGCATGAACGAAATATAGATATTAAACAGAAAGAAACCACCAGTGGTAATGCAAAGACAAAATTTGACAAAGCAATGATTTTGTATTTTCGAATTACTGAGTGAGGTGCAAATAAAGCACACTAAGTAAGAATAGATCTTTGTTTTTTTTCTTTTTCTTGTTTGTTTGCTTTCTGGAAGATATGATTATGTATAGCTACGATCAGTTAATTCCTAATTCTTGTTCTGAGGTTTGAAATGTATATTATTCTCTCTTTTGGTGAAATAATTATCAATGTACAAAACTAAACATGAAAAGTAAGTAATTGAAATCGATGGGTTGTTTAAAATATTATTTCGATTATGTTCAATTAAATAGCAAATTGCATGCTGATCACGTGTTTCTATTGTTCCGCTATTATAAAATTTTCTGTGGAGTTTTTCTTAATTTTGACAGAATGCAAATCTTATTAAGCATGTGAAATTAGCATATTTACCGTATGAACTTCGTAAACGACACATTAATTCGTTTTTTTCTGCGGGCGAAACGCCTGCTTCGATTTCTCAAAATTTACATTCTGTATAGAAACATAAATAATAGGAATTTGTGTGTGTGTGTATATATATATATATATATATATATATATATATATATATATATATATATATATATATATATATATATATATATATATATATATATCTGTGCTGTTAAGAATGTAAACAGTAAGCTTTTGTTCGTGGATTATCTTTCGGTAAAAAGGTTACTGGTTTATTCAATTCAAACTATATTTAGTTCTTATTTGCCTAGCGAGATATACGGATACGATGATGCTCTACAGAGACCTATTATGTTTCAGAAAGTACATAATTCGCGAAACAGGATATCCTACTTCCTGAAATTGATCTGGGTTTTCATTATTTAACAAATGACAAAGATGCGAATTTTAAAGATATATAAATATCACACATCTTTAACGTTTGATTTAAACGGAAGCCAATTAGTACCAAATAAAGACGTTAAGACAGTAATATTTTTAGGACGTTTTGCCATATTTTTAAAAATATTTTAAATATTTTAAATGATTTTTATATTGTCTATACCCCTGAGACTATTTTAATGTTATTATAAATATTCGTAACACTTGTGTGAACATTCAACACACAATTGCGAATATTCGCAATTCTTTTCGTAAAACTTTCTCTGGACAAGCTTAGCCAAGCATTTATTTTAATTCCAGCAGAATTGATTTCAGTGCTGCGACACTTGAAGCTGGTATAAAGATGTTGACGGTCCAGATCTGGTTTGGAATACCATTCAAGATCAAGATCTAGTCTTTCAGGGGCATTTTGGGAAAAATGTCTTATATTGCTTCCAATTTTCTTCTTCAGAGACAAAAATCCATAACATATATCATATTTAAAACACCTTTTAGGAAAGTCAAACATATAACTGTACATACACCTTTTTTTAAGTAATGCGCTACTCGCGATTGTTGTTCTTTATAGCTGGTTTTAACATATGGGCATGATTAACCAATTCATAAATGTAAGTTTTTATTTCTTCCAAATTTTACAAAACCTTAGTTCTCTAATCTCTCAACATTCTGACATTGATATACTTGTATATCTATCCTGTAGAGAGCTTGTCGATACTTTATACAGTTAGACACTGATCCCTGGCATACTTGTATATCTATCTTATAGAGAGCTTGTTGATACTTTATACAGTTAGACACTGATCCCAGGCATACTTGTATATCTCTCCTGTAGAGAGCTTGTCGATACTTTATGCAGTTAGACACTGATCCCTGGCATACTTGTATATATATATATATATATATATATATATATATATATATATATATATATATATATATATATATATATATATATATATATATATATATATATATATCCTGTAGAGAGCTTGTTGATACTTTATACAGTTAGACACTGATCCCTGGCATACTTGTATATCTCTCCTGTAGAGAGCTTGTTGATACTTTATACAGTTAGACACTGATCCCTGGCATACTTGTATATCTATCCTGTAAAGAACTTGTTGATACTTTATAAAGTTAGACACTGATCCCTGGCATACTTGTATATATATCCTGTAGAGAGCTTGTTGATACTTTATACAGTTAGACACTGATCCCTGGCATACTTGTATATCTCTCCTGTAGAGAGCTTGTTGATACTTTATACAGTTAGACACTGATCCCTGGCATACTTGTATATATATCCTGTAGAGAGCTTGTTGATACTTTATACAGTTAGACACTGATCCCTGGCATACTTGTATATCTATCCTGTAGAGAGCTTGTTGATACTTTATACAGTTAGACACTGATCCCTGGCATACTTGTATATCTATCTTGTAGAGAGCTTGTTGATACTTTATACAGTTAGACACTGATCCCTGGCATACTTGTATATCTATCCTGTAGAGAGCTTGTTGATACTTTATACAGTTAGACACTGATCCCTGGCATACTTGTATATCTCTCCTGTAGAAAGCTTGTTGATACTTTATACAGTTAGACACTGATCCCTGGCATACTTGTATATCTATATCTATCCTGTAGAGAGCTTGTCAATACTTTATACAGTTAGACACTGATCCCTGGCATACTTGTACATCTATCTTGTAGAAAACTTATTGATACTTTATACACTTGGACATTGATCACTGGCAACTTGTATATCTATTAAATAGAAGAACTCGTTGATACGCCATGGACTTGCTTATGTTTGGATACACAGTAAATCACATGAAATTCGTGGGTATTAAATTTCATAGTTTGGTTAAAAAATGCATATTCATGGATTCTAAGTATGGTGGATTAGTCACTTAAAACAAAATAAAAAAGAACCACGCACTCGCGACTACTACTACTATTATTACTACTACTACTATTACTACTACTACTACTACTACTACTACTACTACTACTAAAGCAATAAAATATATTCAGCGTATCTCTCCATAAAAATAATACCGACACTCCCATGCATATCGCGTAAAATGGTTAACTATAATAATTAGGTTTAGGTGAGTTTTTTATTGCTAACATTCGATATACACGTTGAGATCTAAATCAAAGAGGCCGACATACTTTGGTACGCAAGCAATTATAATGAAACTGCTTTAATGAGGAAAATAATCAGTTTTTAGTGATCTTAAGGATCACTGTCAAAAGCAAAGGTCTCAGCAATTAGGGATGAGGTTAGAAAACAAAGGTCTCAGCAATTAGGGACGAGGCTCGATAACGAAGCGAACGGTAGCAAAGAATGTTTGTTTTCTTCTCTAACATTAGCTTATATCTTTATCGTTATTTAAGTGTTAATCTTGGTAGGTTTTCAACTCACAATTTTTAACAATGTCGCTTACTCAGTTGACTAAAAGCGGGAAAGTTGTGGACAAATGCTCTGAGGCGCCGTAACGGACAATAATGAGAAAGTTTTAGATGAAATTTCGATGTCGTATGTCAAAAAATCCAATAACACGTTGTTCGATCAAATTGCGTGTCCTTAAAGTTCCATTTTCTAGATCGAGATTTTAGATACAATATGTTGAATTATATAGTGTTGGTTTACAGTTTTATTTCTTATCTCTACGTTTAACGGTGTATATTCTAAAGTTACACATCGGTGATTGAAATTTCAATATATGCTGAGAATCCCTAATTCACACGTTGTGTGCAACAGTTCGTGATGAAGGTTTTATTTTATACGGCGTGTATTTAGATTTCGTCTGTTGAATTTCATAGCAAAGAGAAGCAGCTTCTGTATTTAAAAAAGAATGAGTTCCGTTCACGAGAGCGTCCTCTAGCGAAGAAAATTCGTAGTAATTCTTGATCTGCGAATATTAACTTTCAAACTGTACATGCATGAAATGTAATGGCCTAATAACTGAATGCACGAATGTATCGTAATACTCGACATTATTTTGAATT